CCTCTGTCCCTCCATCTCCGCCCACCTCGCGCCCCTCTGTGTGTGTGTGAGAGAGAGAGTGTTTGTGTCTCTCTCTTGCTTTCTCTCTTTCTCTCTCTCTGGGTGTGTCTCTCTCTCACCCTCCTGTCCCCTATCCCTCACTACCCTCTCCCTCGCCCCTCTTTCTCCCTTCTACCACCCCCACCCTCTCACTGTCCATCCTCCTTTCTCCCCTCTCTCTCCCTGTGTGTGTTTCTCTGTTTGCTTCTGTGTGTGTGTTGTGCCTGTCTGTCCTTGTACCTATCTCTCCACAATGGACAGTAAATTCTGACCTTTCTAAAGATGCCCACATTCCATTAGAGAACAAAACCAGTTTCAATCTCCCCTTGCCATGGCTGCAATAATGGGAACAAGCGTTTTGGATGTTGTTGCTTTTAAAGATCATATCAGCAGTTTTAACCAAACGTTTAACTAGGAATCATTGCTATTTAAGCAGATATCTAATATCAACCTGCCCTCTCCACTTCCACCAGTGCCATTTCTGGCTGTTCCTGTTCCCATGACTAAATATTTGAAAGTTCAAAATTCAGATCATCAGTACAGATTTTTAAGAATAGCCTGTTTTATTTCTACTAGATCAAAGCATCCCTGACTTCTGATCCAATACCCATGAGTACTGAACAGATCTTGGTCATATTTCAATTGTGAATGGAACAAACTGCATCCATAAGCTATTCCATCTTGCACAATTCAACCTGGTGCTACTGTCTTTATCAGATGTTATATGCACTTTTGAGCAGGCATTATAGAAGCAGGAGCCTTAGATCATTGACTTTTCTCATACTGAACATGGTTCTTATTCGACCTCTCTATAATTTGGCAATTCATTGGGGAAAGCATGTGTCAAACGTCTAAATGTCTTTATAGGATTATCATAGTAGGACTTGCTGTCTAAGTTCAACAAATAATTGCACAAGATATCTGAAGTATTAAATTAAAAACTACAATTTTATCGGAAGCATTTTTCAGATCATTGTCTGAATCAAGCTTATAACTATGCATATTGTGAAATTGGGCACAAAAGTTGTTTCAGAAACAGTTTATGTAATGCGCAGTTAATAAAATGACCTCAAATGGCTCATCAAGATGATTTCTAGGTAATAGTTTTCTAATACTTTGTAGGAATTTATTATATTTGTGACTTACTTAAGGATTTGTAATTCTCTTTTAGGCAAGAAAAATTCTGCCAGAGAACCTAGGGAGTGTTCTATATCTTCTGTCCCTGGATTTATCATTTCGTTTCAGCTACCACAGCATTCATGAGACTGTCACTGCATACTTAGAGCAGGTCAGCCTGGAGAGTTACAAGATATATAAGAGAGCAACTGAGATGTTGGAATCAATGGAGTGTGTATGTACTTTTCTCAAAGCTGCTGAAACCAAGGTATTTGCTACTAATGTTGTCCTTGTTTGAAAGCATTTATTGAATTTTACTTTTACAATGAGAGTCTTTGGGAGGATTTTCTCAGCTATAGGAACTAGGTGATTCAGGATAATATGAACTAGGATTTAGTTGTGATGAACGAGAGGGTAGTACCTCAACAGTTTCTGGGCTGGGGTTAAGCAAGGCTGTGTGGTAACCCCCATGCTATTCACAAACTAATTAATAGTGGCTGCTCATTTCCACCAGAGATCAACTGACCTTTTTGTGTCAGTATTCAGTGCTATCTCTTGGAAACCTCTTTAGCATTTGTGGCCTCTGCCAAAAATAAACTGACCACTGTAGGTATGATGATCTACAGTTTGTAGATGACTGCATTATAGTTGTCTTCTCTGCACCAGGTTTGCAAGCCACTTTGGATCTTTGCTCATCTTGCCCTTCTGTTGCCAAAATAAACCAACATCTGGTCAATCAAATATTCCTTATGTTGAAGGAGAGCCTCTGGAATACATTAAGCACTTCCTATGCAATGACAGCAACTTGCCTCAAAAGCTGCACCAGCTTGGGCTTCTACAAATTATAGCAGCAAGTGTTGATGATCTCCACGAGCAATATTCTCTCCAAGCTGCAAGTCTGAGGGTCCTCAGAGGGTGATTGACAAGCCAAAGTAATTTGCATCATTGACTTGCTGCACGTGAGCCTCGGAGGTCTGCAGACAAAAATCAAAGTTATGTGAACGCTGTCCAGAGGTCAGCAAAAGTCTTAGTGAACACAGCGTTATACTTATTTCTCGGAGCAAAACCCAAGTAGTGTATTAGTGTTATATTAGAATGCTAGAGAACATCTATCAGTAGTGCCTCCACGTTTGATGGGAGGACCATTTGTCCAATGCTAGACTCCATCTTGAAACTATATCTGCAAACATTCAGGTAAAACTCATGTAACATAAACTTCAGGACTCTGATCGCATGGTCAGAAATGGTCTTTCAAATCTTGAATCTGAAATGGCTAATGCTTCAGGGAAGGAAAAAGAAAATACTTTAAAGAGACTGAAGCTGTCCCTTAAAATAGGACAGTATTGACTTTAGTGACAGGAAGAAATTGCTCAGAATTGCAACGACTTGTTCATCAAGCTGCATCACTCTGAGTTCCATTGCCTCAATGATAACCAGAAAGGAAAGCGAGCCAATCTTGCGCACCTGATCCCACTGCCCTGTGGGATGTCCTGCCCTATGCCTAATAACCTGTGTGAGCTAAAGTTGAAGATCTATAGCAGCAATGTGCAACCCTAAGTAGACATTATTCTCAAATTATACGGCTGCTAATGATGACAACTATTCCATTTTTTAAAACAGTTGTTACTGCAATTTGTACAGCAAGTGGAAATATGTTTTGAGCATAGATCATCAAAAAACCTTCATGAATTATCTTTTTGAAAATCAATTTAGATTTGATTTTAAAATAATTTTACACAACTGTTGTAACATTTGATGATTGTGAAATACCCTGTTTTGTAGAGGGTTTTGTATTTGTCAGTGGACACATGTAGAAAAGCCAGAATGCCCACTTATTGTCATCATTGCATCAAGCCATGTGAAAATAATCTAAAATTGTCATTGATTTTGTGTTGTACTTTGGCAGCATTTTTTGAGGTGTCTTTCATGGTCAAATAGTAATGATTTAATCTTATCAAATGCTATCTTTAGTGTAATGTGGTTTGTTTCATGTCAGAGAATATTTGGTGAAAAGAAACCTTTTGACTTAATTGCATTTTTATTTTTCTAGGGTGAAATGAATCTTATGGAGCTGATTGAATTTGCAGACCAGGCTTTGATTAGCCTTCCTTATCATCAGCAGCTGCAAGTGATCCTAAGATATGTTGAAATCTGCTCAGAAATGTAAAGAATGGGAATTTCTCATTAAGCTTAACTATTCCTTACATTCAGGATTACATGCTGTATTGACAAAGCCTTTTCTTTAAACACAGTTTCTCATCTGTAGAACCCAAGGAATGCCTCCTTTTGATTCATTAGAATTTATTAAAGACAACGTGGGATAGTTTAGTGAATCAGATTATTTTTCCTAATCTGAAAATGAATGTTATTTGGACTGTTGTTGAAGGGATGACGCACTCTAGTGTAGGATATGAATGATTTGCCTTAGACAGAGACGGTGGCTCAGTGGTTAGCACTACTGCCTCACAGTACCAGGGACCTGGGTTTGATTCCAGCCTCAATCAACTTCCCTTTTTGGAGTTTGCACATTTTCCCCTTGTCTTCGTGGGTTTCCTCTGGGTGCTGTGGTTTTCTCCCACAATCCAAAGATGTGTAGATTAGGTGGATTGGCAGTGCTAAATTGCTCATAATGTCCAGGGATCACAGGCCAGTTAATTAGCCATGGGAAACGCAGGGTTATTGAATAGGGTAGGGGTTCTGTCTAGGTGGAATTCTCTTCAGAGGGTTATTTTGGACGCAGTGGGTCAAATGGCTTACTTCCACACAGTAGGAATTCTATGAACTTTTAGGTAATGTTATTATTCAGTTTTTTTGGGTGTCAAGAGACTTAGCAATGTCATTTTTGTTTTGAAATCTGCTCAATTCTGTTAAAGTAAATTAATTTAAAAATTGCCCAATTGCTTTTCATGCATTTTTGACATTAATTTTAAGGGATCTAGTAGCACTTGATTAACTAATTGGACAAGTTGCCCAGAATCCTGGGGTCAGGATCAAGAGATATGAGTTCAAATCCCATCTCTGCAGCAATATGGCTGACTTTTAACTGTTCCTACAATGGTGTAGTAAGATACTCAGTTGTATTTAAGAAGTTTGTTGTACTTCATGACTAATTTCTGAAGGGGAGGAAATATCCAAAATCTGCTGTCTAATTTTTGCCATACTTCCGATAGTTATATATGAAAGCCTGTTTCTGTTTGCCTCACCAATGAAACCCATCGCAAGATGTGAAGTTGCTGTATTTCCGTGTTAGATAACGAAATTAAATTTTGTCTGTTTCATGCTAGGTACCCTTTTACATTATCAGTGTAATTACTACTAAATAGTCTTCCTGGTTCCATTGCAAGTGTTTTGTCTCATTGCTTCAGATTTGAATTGCTAGATATAATAAAGGCTATAATTTCAAATTTTGTTTCATCTTTCCTTTTTCTTTCAGTTTATTTCTCTTTCTACGTGCATTCTTTCTTGTCCCCTTAATTTCTCTGCCTGTGCCTGATTTGGCATCTAGTTCACCTGCTCTGTTTTACACTTCCTTCTCAGTTTTTGTGCTGTTAATTTAACAATCCATTAATTGGATTGGTTAAGGATATACATATGTTAATACTGGAAAAGATGTTTGTTTTGCACAATTAGCAGCTATCATGTTTTATTGTGATCAGAAGTAATGTACAAATATTTTGGAGATTTTGAAGACTATTGTTGCTGTTTGTGTTCTTTTTCTACAGTTCCAAATCTGCAGAGGCCATGCCAATACTTGACCGCGAGAGTCGGAAAATATTTCTGAAACTTTTGTCTCACACCTTGCCAACTATTAAAGTCGAAACTTATCGCTGCTGTTTAAATCTCGTGAAGGTGGGATGAAACATGAGCTTGATCTGTTGACTACTTGTAGATTTTACTTTCACTAGTATGCTTATGCATTTAAGAGGAAGCAAAATAAGCACTTGAGGGAGAAATGAATAGAAGATTTATTGATTTAGATGAGATGAAGTAAAGGTGGGAGGATCCTCACAAGCAGCATGAATGTTGATTATAGAATGGTTTGTTTCCATGGTGTAAAACTGCATTCTTCAAGAGTGTTACACATTGGCTGAAGATGAAGCCAGGAACATTAAAATATGGAGGTTGGGAAAAGCAGGATGGTCTGACCAAGGCAGGACAGAGAGTGAACATCAACCACATGGTTCCTTTCAGACATTGAGAGATTCTGACTTGATGAATAAGGATGGTAAAGATTGCAGGCAGGAGGCTTAGACACTGAAGAACTGAGTCTGCTGGTTATGTGTTATGAAGATAATTGAAATCTTAATACTGTATTTTGTAGCTTTTGAAGAGTTCGCTGTGAAGAATGAAAATGAAGGGATGTCATGTTATGTTGGAACCTTTTCAACCCATAATAAATATTAGATAACCCTGAACCAGTAAAAGATCTTGGGGCTGAGTCAACCCTGAATTAATCAAAGCTGGGATGAAGATATAGCTTAGATTTTTATGACAATTTTTAGCACATCTCAAGAACTTCACTGTTAAAGAATGACCTTCCATAAATAGCGACTTCACTTCAATAATTTTTGCATATGAAACCATGAGGACAGTGATACAATAAATGAATAATCTATTTCTGATGATGGTGGCTGAGGGGCAAATGGTGACCCAAAATCCACAAGTCTTCCAAAGCATTCCCTGAAATAGTGTGGTATGATTTATTTGCACACACCCATACAAATAGACAAACCATATTCTAATGGTTCATCAAATATATGGTATTTTTCAGTGTAACATTCCATAACACTGCATTTATAGTGTCAGCCCAGTATAGCCCTAGGGTCCTAGTCAGGGAATCGATCCAAACCTCTTAAATTCACTTGTAATCACTAGCATTTAGCTAAAATAAGACTAGCTTAAAGCTGCAAAATACTTGACGGAATACTATTAATATTATTCTTGATGGATGCAGAATGATAGGAGATGGATTTACGTTTGAAGGGTAAATAGATTAATTTTTTTCTTCTTAAGCCTGTTTCTGAAATACCATTGACTCGTAGTTACTGATATGCAGACTCGTAGTCTTGAAATACTCATAATTTTTAAACCTTTTTCTTATGAAGGCTTGTCTTGGAATCCACAATGTTATCAACCCAATGTCATCAATTTCTCGAGGTGTTAATTTCCTTCTCCATCCCTGGGTTTTGTATGAAATATGTACATTTGGTCTAATGGATTCAACTGAACAGGTAGCTATTCAGATTGTTTAATTATGTACAAAGAAATGCTTTACGATTTGGGGATGGTAAACATGATCTGATGAGAGAAGCAGTAAAATTATAATAGAGGGGGCTTCTCAGCGCATTAGTCTGTCCCAGTTGTATTGTAAACTGTATTATTTGTCACCTCTTTCCATGTGCCCCTGAAACTTTTTCTTTTCAAATTGTTATTCATTTGCTTTTTGAAACTTTACCTTTTGAATTTGCATACATATTATCATTATTTTCACCTTTGGTCTGGTTCTTTTGCCAGTTAGGTTAATCTGTGTCCTCTGCTTATCAATTTTGCTCCTGGAACAACTATTCCTTAATTGCTCAAACAAGATCCTTAAAACAACTCTGTTAAAGCTCCCCTTAGCTTACTCTGTTTTAAGTGTAAAGACATAAAGAATAAAGAAATAGAAGCAAAATTAAGGCTATTAGCATTTCAAACCTACTTCATCATTAACTAAGATCATGGATGGTCTGATTGTGGCCTTAACATTGAATTGGAGAAATCGGGTTTGGCTTGCAACTCTGGTGCAGAGCAGACAATGAAACTTCAGTCATCGACAAACTATAGACCATATGTGTCTGTGGTAATTAGTTTTGGCATGGATACCACTGAAGTTAGAGTTCTACATCCAGCTAATATTTAATACTGATACCAAAGGTCAATTGATCTTTAATTAGCTAATAGGTATGGGGGCTTGGTTCAAGTCCATATTTATTTTACATCTCCCACTCGAGACAGTTGGAGTTATTTCGCCATAAAGCTGATGCAGAATTGTGAAGAAGTATATTTGGACATCTGAATCTTTGGATCACAGTCTGTAACTTACTAAGTCAATGCACTGGTCGGGTCAGGGGAGACGGGCATTCTTTTCCCTCGCAAATCTAAAGGATGAGTGAATGAAGTCTTGTTGCAGGCAACACTATAGCTAAAATACCATTCGGACCACAAGCTTTGTTCTTCTTTTGTTTGATTGCTTGTTGCAGCTGTCTTACTGGTGGTGGTTCACAAATGGATCCTACCACAGGGAATTGGGGATGGTCTGGAGAGTATCAGCTGGCTCTGTGGATTTATGGTTGAGGTGCTGAAATGTTCTTTCCAGGGTTGATGGATGGCATTGTCTTGAGAAGGGAGGTAATTTTCTGGGAGAACTTGATAGCCATGGAAGGTGTATTCATGATGTAGTCAAACAAGTTGATTATCAACCTGAAAATCCTTCCAGTATGCCTATGGCAAGTGGTAAGAGCAGCACAGTCTCCCGGTCAGCCGGAACCTAGAAGATTCAGTCTCTGCTTCCCTCTTGGCTAGGTAATTCCAAAGATTACCAGCCCTCTAAGGGATGAAATTCCTCCTTATACCCAACTTTAAATGGGATAGCTTACTCTGAAGCTATGTCCCCAGTTCTAGACCAACACCCCAACACCACTCAGCAAAATAGGGGAAACATTCTCTCAGCATCTACCCTGTCAAGTCACCTCAGAATTTTGCATGTATCAAGAAATCACCTCTCACTCTTCAAAACCCCAGTGGTATGGCCCAATCAGTTCAAACTTTCTCCATAAGATTAACTCATCATTAAAGAAACTGGAGGATTTGGGTTCAGAAGTAGAGATAGCTTGCTGCCGTTAAACAGGCCCTTGGTGAGATCATAGCTGGTATGCTGTATGCAGTTTTCATCTCCCAACCCAAGAAAAGATACACTTTTCTTTGAGGGAGTGTAGTGGAGGTTTACTAAGCTGATACCAGGATAGCATAACTGTTCTATGGAGAAAAATTGGTTTAAGTGTGCCTATACTCACTTGACTACCCAGTGCTGCAGCTGTTGGGTAGGGATTTCAGCATTCTAATAAGCAATTAAGTTTTGTGTTTTAATCTAGGATTCCAGATTTAACAGGAAGGGACATAGTACTGAAATGGTTGGAAGTGCCCCCTAGCATCAATGTGCGGAGTTCTTCTTCAGTAAAACTTACAGGTTGGGAAATCTTGAAGTATGAGTTCCAACCATAGTCGGATGGAAAGTTAATCACAGAGCAACTTTTCAGAGAGTGCATTTAGTGCTTGACAAGTGATTGCTAACCTCTTGGAGGTCACCACCAGTCTTGGACTTGCCGAACCTTTAACTGGATTTCTCCGCTGACAGCCTTCGCCATGGCTATAAGCACCTTATGGAGCTGTACCATTGCATCCCTATGAGCAGTGCAACCAATAAAACCACTAGCAGGAACAATGCTAGGACGGGCTGTCATATCAAACCACAATTCCACCGGTCAGAGCAGAAATTTAGCTTGAATGAGGTGAGACCCTATCATAAGATCCGCAGGCAGAGAATTGGCTCTCTCAAAATAATGAGTGCTAGTGCCACAAAAGGCTTGGATTTTCACAGCAGTCATTTTTTGACATCTGCGGCCTTCTAATACAATATCTCCTTCACAGTAGACCAGGTGACTTTTTTTTAATTCATTCACAAGATATGAGTGTCACCGGCTAAGCCAACATTTATTGCCCAGAGGGCAAAAAAGAGCCAAGAGTTTGGAGTCACACATAGGCCACGGCAGTTTCTTTCGGTAAAGGACATTAATGAACCAGATGGGATTTTCCCCAACAATCAGTTCATGGTCACCATTAGACTCTTAATTCTAGATTTTTTTAAACTGTATGCAGAAGCAGATTCCACCATATGTCATGGTGGGATACAAACCTGGGTCCTGGGAATGTTACTTGGGTCTGTAAATTAACAGTCCAATGATAATACCACCACTAGGCTGTCATCTCCCCTATACAGACAGTGTCTGTTACTAGAAGATCAAACCCCATCCCACCCCAACTATCTCCCTCTCCCTGAAGCTGTGTTCTCTTTCCGATCTTTAAAATTATTCAGGGCTGAGTTAGGTTTTGATAAGACAAGTGAGTCAAGAGCTATGGGGGACAAGCAGGAAAGTAGACCTAACTCCATCAGGTAGATCAGCCATGATCTTATTCAATGGTGGAGCGAACTGGAAGGGTTAAATCACCTCTAACCCCTATGTTCTGATGTTCCCGCAGGTATTAGTAATGACTTGTTTGGGCATAGGAAAGAGTAGTAGTTGTGGAGGGTAATTGAGAGAGATGGGGGTGAGAGGGCAATGGATGAGTGAGAATGTTTGCTGTTCAGATGAGAATGAGGGGACTGATGACAGAGGAAATGAATAGAGCTGCAATGTGCGTTGTCCTGACGAATACTGTGTATGTCAGCATGGGGTTTTGTGCACAAAAGTGTTATCCACTCACCTTAGCAATGCTGTTGAGGTTCTTTAATAAGGACATAAGAAATGGTAGTAATGAGGCAATTTGGCTTCTCATGCTTTCTCTACCATTTAGTGAGATCATGGCTGATCTGTTAGTGACCTCGGTCTCCTTCCCTGCTTGTCCTCATAACTTTTAACTTCCTTGTAGATATGTCTACCAGACAGATGCTCTTCTCCGAATCACAGAATTCTAACAGCGCAGAAGGAGGCCACACATGCCTACACTGGTTCTTCAAACAAGCATCAGGACCTCATGCTAATTTCCTGCCTTTTCCCCATCTTGAATGCCTCAATACAACCTGCCTGTATCATGTTTCCAGACAGGGCATGAAATGCACTAACTATTTGCTGTGAACCTTTTTTTTTTCTCACATCATCCTTGGTTCTTTCGCACATCACTTTAAATCTAATGCACTCATTCCTTTTCTTTTATGTGCAGGAGCAGCTTTTCCTTATCCATTCTATCCAGCCCACTCTTGAAATCTGCTGTCAGCTTCTCTCCAAGGAAAACAGTCTCAAAGTCTTCGATCTGACCTCGTAACTGAAGTTTCGCACTCCTTGAACCACTCTTGGAAATCGCTTCTGCGCTCTTTTCAATGCATTCGCATATGTCCTGTAATGCTGCATCTATAACTGTACACAATACTTCAGCCAAGTGTCTTGCACAAATTCAGCACCACCTCCTTGCTCTTAAACTTTATGCCCCCATTAATAAAGTTGAGAGCACTGTATGCTTTGCTAATTGCTCTCTCACTGTACTGCCACCTTCCGTGATCTGTATACGTATGCACCCAGGTCCCTCTGCTGCAACATCCTCTTTAGAATTGTACCCCTATTTTACATTGTCTTACAATATTCTTCAACCAAAGTGCACCACCTCACACCTCTCTGCATTGATTCCTTTCTACTACCTATCAGTTTACAGTTCTTGCAAGTTTTTGCATCATCTGCAACCAGTGAACTTGTCCACTGCACACCAGGATTCAGATCATTAATATATATGAGGAAAAGCAAAGGTCCTAGTACTGACCACTGGGAACTGCATTACAAATCTTCCTTCAGCCCGAAAAATATCCTTTGTTTCTTGTCAGTCAGCCAATTTTGTATCTACATTGCTACTGCCCCTTTTATAGTATGACCTATAACTTTCCACCTAAGTCTGTTGTGGGCACTGCATCAAATGCCTTCTGGAAATCCATGAATGCAACACCAACAGCCTTGTTCTTCTCATCAAAACCTCCTGTTACCTTTTCAAAAACTCCAAGTCAGTTAAACATAACTTCCTCTTTAGAAATATGTGCTGATTCTTCCTTATCAGCCCACCTTTTCCACTTGTTTACTAATTCTATCCAGAATAATTGTTTCTAGAAGTTTCTAGGGGCGGCACAGTGGTTAGCACTGCTGCCTCACAGTGCCAGGGACCGGGGTTTGATTCCGGCCTTGGGTGACTGTCTGTGGAGTTTGCATGTTCTCCCCGTGTCTGCGTGGGTTTCCTCTGGGTACTCTTGTTTCCTCCCTAAGGATGTGCAAGTTAAGTTGATTGGCCATGCTAAATTGCCCATTGTAGCCAGGTAAGCGTGCTAGGTCGGTTAGCCATGGGAAATGTGGGGTTACAGGGAAAGGGTAGGAGGGTGGGATGCTCTTAGGAGGGTTAGTGTGGACTTGATGGGCTGAATGGCTGATTTCCACGCTGT